CCAAATAAGGCTTATCCATACAATGTACCTGTGTCAAAGTTTCACAAAACCAAATATTTCCCAACTGACTTGCATAGTAACGAGTTTTATCAAATGCAACTAGGCTCTTAGCAGCTGTTACGTGTACGTGTGTGCATAGTCGAGACGTCTAGCAACAATAAAAACAAAAATAATGGCTACCTCAACCAGTTCCTTTTCCGAGAACAGGTAGATAAACAGACCAGCACCAGCTCCGCACAAAATGTCACCCGCTTGACCTGTGGTCACTTTCATCATATAGCATTGTATTAAAGGGCATTACAGTTAATATTGTAAAGGAATGGTCAGTTTTAATATCTGGATGGATGTACATTAAAACAAAATCAGCTAAGGACAACAGACTGATGATTCAGTCCGCACCATTCTGCTTGGGTGTAGTATAACCTGCAGAATAGTTTAAGCATTGCACTAGGCCAATCTGTGATTTACGTACTGTATATGCTACAGTGAATATGTAAAACCTGGGATTATGTATAATCCCCGAGCTTTTCAGTGATTATGTATAATCAGTCTGATTAAGTCAAAGATTACACAAAATCACTGACATTTTCAGGGATTATACATTATCACTGAAAAATAGACTAGAATTTGAGAAACATTCTCTGAAATCACTTCTTGTGTAGTTTGAGGTATATTTCTTCCAAAAAGAAGTGAAATTAGACTTTTGTATTAAGCAGGATAGAGACGTTTCTTTGCTACAATGATATGTGTATTCAACATAATAGATTTATACATGTTTGATGTACATAAGGAAATGTATGATGGACATGTTTTGAGAACATCAATTCAGTTTTTATTTTGACAAGGCAATGGTGAGTGGCTCCTTGAATTACTCTGTACACCAGCCTTGTAGCACTTGCATCTATTTGTCTGGCACCTCTTGACTCTAGCACAATTGCGCTTAACAAAGCCTTGTCCACCACAGGCTGACCCAAACTGGACTGCTGAGCGTCAGAAGACATATCATCTAAGGGTGTCTTCGCAGGAAGGCGACTATTTTTGGCGTGTAAAAACATGGGCAGGTTTTCGTTTTCGCCTTCGTGCAATGTACATCCATCCAGATATTAAAACCCCTCTAAGGTGTAGAGAGCTGTGTCGCAAACATCAAATTGTTTGAAAATTAAGAGGATATTTACCAGATACAATATCAGCTTTGACAGCAATTGTGTACATGCCACTGTCGTTAATGTCAGTAATCACACCGATCAAGTTGCCGGGATCAGCTCTACCTCTGTCCACGGATGGGATGTGAACTGGATCGTTGTCACCAACTTGAACTTCAGACAGAGCAACTTTACTCTAATCACCATTCTCTCGGCTTGTTGCAACTGAGAGTCTACAGCTCGCTTCCACTGGATGCTGATCTGCTGACGTCTCTTTGGGATTACACTTTCTCGGTAAAGGACAGATTCTAGTACTTTTTGGGGGTTGAGCACCATCCGGGATTCGAACCCACACCCTCAGAGTCAGGCACCTAATCGCCAGCACACAAAGTCAGACGCCTAGACCGCTCAGCCACCGCGGCTTCCACAAAAATGGAAGTCGGACAACTGGTAGTCTAGACTGCGGACTTTGTGTACCCCTCTGATAAGTGTTAATTGGCACGGCTCCCACGGCCAAAAGCTATGAAATACACAATGCCATTTTAGAAAGATGGTCAAATGTAACATATGTTATATTTGGGATTACACTTTCTCAGTAAAGTACAGATTCTTGTACTTTTTTATAAAAGAAGAATCTGTACTTTACTGAGAAAGTGTAATCCCAAATGTAACATATGTTACATTTGACCACTTTCTAAATGGCATTGTGTATTTCATGCTGATGTCTCTTTGCAACAAGGAGTTCTGCTGATGATGCTCACAAAAAATGAAAACTGGGTGAAGCTTTAATATTTATGGAGAAGCATTATTTGCCCAACATGTTTGCACGAAAAGTGATTGTAACACTACTGATTTGGTATAGTATAACTGCAGTAAAACCTGGAAATATCTGCACAAGGCAAATCTGTGATTTATGTACAGTAACTGTATATTTGTAGCTGCTCACAAAAGCATTATGGACATTTGTTGCACCGAAATAGCTGTAAGAGTTAAGGTATATCCATTTCATCAATGTTTTGCAAAATGTATTCCTGTATTAATAAAGAAAGTTTTATAATTATAAATATAGCTTGTGGGTTTATTCATATTTCAGAAAAGAAGGGGTTCATGGGTTATCAGAAACATAGCTCAAGGTGTGACAGAGAGCATAGAATTCGGACCAAAAATTGGCCAGGGCTACATTAAGCGCCTTCAAAGTCGTGACGTGTAATGAAATTTACTGGAAAGTCTCAAATATGGGGTTGGATTATGCCAAGCAGTCTGAAACACTGACCAGCGAACCCCACCGCCTGTGAAGCCAAGGACGGGACACTAACGCCTGAATAGTTGAAAGCACGTTGAGACCGCAGCATGAGTGAGTGAGTGAGTGACTTATGATTTAGCATCACAGTATATTTCAGCCATATCGTAACGAGATCAATTTCATTTATATCAATACTAAAATGAATAAATTTAGAACGTAAAAAATTGTGATCGAAGGACAGTAAAAATACTAGAGTATCACAGCTCGTAATTGAATTTAGTACGCTATCATAAAAAAATAAATCACTACAGACAACAGTACAAAATAAAAACGGGCTATAGATCACCAGCAACTGAAGGCTGATCGCCATACTAGGGACCATTGGGACTTACAGTACTTTTGTTACCTTCATGGACCCTAGCTGAATCTATATCAACTCTTCAGCAGCTGGCGATTGTTGTCAAATTTAGCCAAAATTAAAATTACAAAAATACTACGTTTTAAAAAATCCTGATTAGTTTGAGTTTACTTTGAAGGAAACAAAGTAAAAATACACTTAACTTGGGAAATGGGAAATTGTATAAATACGGCCCCATTGTCTACATACTCGATCATTCCGGCACATGGTGTACCAAAAAGAGTTTCCCCATGCACAGCGTGATCGTGTCAAAGGACTTGCGGCAATGAAAGCATATAGCAACATTGTCTGCTGCCTGGATTAATACCGCGGCGATGAAAGATATTAAACATGAGTGTTAATTACATATTGTCTTTCATGTGTGACAATATTCAGTGACAGCAACATTCATTTGATCATTGTCGTGATGTACATAATGACTGGTAATAATGCAAAACCGTAATATTGTCAACATTCAATGTAAAATCATTAATGCATTTGCTTTCAGAACCATCTTAATGAAAATATATGTTCCTGGTCCCATTTTGTCTATCCACCTATTGTGTATTATCCAAAAGATGCAAGTGTAATGATGCTGTGAATTTCCATACTCAAATTTGAAGGTTAACCAGATTTCGTTGGGATGCCTAGTGGTTAGAGAGTTCACTCGTCGATGAACAGTGTGTGAAGCCCATTTCTGAAGTCTTCCTCCCCCCTTCCCCCCTTGCGATATTGCTGGAATATTGCTTACAGCGGCGTACACTAACGTCACATAGTTTTGGTTTGCAATTAACAGGCAATTAATAAGTGACAATAAGCAACAGGTCAAAGTCCTACGAAATGTTGAGACCATGGTAACCATGAGACCTACCTTTATGCTTGCATACAAATGATGTTGGATACTACAGGAATTTAGTTACCTAACACGAACTTGGCAAGAAGATAAAAAACAGGAAATCGAATGGGCTTCGAATTGCCTCCATAACGACCTCATGTTGGTTCAGTCAGCTTTCTAGAAATTGTCAAATCCCGAAACGTCTCCAAAAACGAAGCATGGTAATGTAAACAACGGAGCTTCCAACAGCATAGCAGTTATGTCACGGCTTGTCCCCAGCTTAATGTGGAAGGAAAGTGAAAAGTGACGATGGTCTATGTTTACACATATTATGTTTGCACAAGATTATTGTGCTGGCAAACCAAATGATATAAACATATACCAATTATCACTCAATGATGTGCTTTTCTTTGTAAGAATGGCTAGAGTGATTTCTGTTCATAATGTCTTGACCAATTTAGGATAAAATGCAATCGCGGAACAAGTTGAGTGAGTTTAGTTTCACGCCGCACTCAGCAATATTCCGGTAAATATATTCCGGTCGGTAAATATAATCGAGTCTGGACCAGCAATCAAGTGATCAACAGCATGAACATCCATCTACGCAATTCGGATACGATGACATGTGTCAAGCGAGCCTGACCACCCGATCCCGCTAGACGCCTTTTACGACAAGCATGGGTTACCGTAGATCAATGCTAACCCAGATCTTCACGGGTACGCTCAAGCATGTATAAGATCACTCTTCATGTTCATGGTGCAAGGGTGACCATGTCGTCCAAGGCGCCGCAATTCGTTGTGCAGAGAGGCGTCCCTTGGCATCTATGTTTGTTTGTACATATCCGGATCCGCCACGTTTCTAGGTTTGACACCAGCATACCCGTGCCTTTGGGTTTATTGACTCAGACCAGTCTATCAGTGTTTCCTCTCATATCAAGCCGACACTGTGATATAACTAAAATTATATTCAAGGCGGCGTTAAACCTTCTCACTCACTCACTGTTGCCCGTAAACGATATAACAGCTTGAAAGGAAGAAACATTAATAAAATTAATATAGAAATGGTTGGCACAGGTGTTTCCTCTTCTGTTTCTGCATTCATTGAACCACACCCTGTATATTTTGTTCCATGGTTTCTGTATTGGTGTTACTTTAGAGCTGTCATGCATGAAACGGATCACTGGTGCATGTACTTATATACTAACATATTCCAATAGGATCCATATATATGAGATAAAACAGAATATATCATTTGTTCCGGTATGATCATTCATAATGCCTAGTTCTCATTATCGAACAATCTCAAATACAGTAGTACAAATATATGTGATATTCAAATAAACAAGTCATTTATAAGTTTTATTCTGATAGATATGGCTAAGGTATCGCTCGGTGCCACTGACTATGTCGTCATCTGTGGACTCCTCACCCTGTCTTTGGGGATAGGGTTGTATTACGCCATCATGAGCAGGAAGAGGGGTACCAGGGAGGACTATCTCCTGGGGGGAAGGCGTCTCCGCGTCCTTCCGGTTACGATGTCTCTGTTTGTGTCGTACACGTCGTCGACGTCAATGCTTGGGATGCCGGCCGAAACCTTCACGTACGGATTTGCGTATGTCATGTTTGCTGTAGGTGCAGTAGTTAGTATGACCATATTCATATTTACACTGGTGCCGATGATGCATAGCCTGAAGATAACCAGCATGTACGAGGTGAGTGTCACCTGTCATTTTGGCCTCCGTCACACAATATTCCTTCTTCCAACTCTGAATAACAAACATCCTCACACGGGAGTGAAGGTCACTATAGGTCACCCTGTTAAGACTTTATATTTAGCGAATGTTTTAGTTGTTGTTTAACGCCACACTCATCAATATTCCAGCTGTATGATTAGGGGCTGTAAATAATTGAACTTGTACAGTACTAGACAACACAGTGTTTTATACCAAGACGCGCCTGATCCCCGACGCTTTTGCGCCAAGTTTTTCTTCCTGAAGATTAGTTTTAAACCGGAGCTCGTGTGTCGTTGACATAGATCGTTGCTCCTGCAGATGGAATGCTTAGTAGGGCTTCAATCATTTTTCTCATTGATGTAACGTATTGTTGAACAATACTTTATGGCGGGCAAACCTTCATCTATTGTATAAGACATATTTCAACTGTAAATGTGAAGTAGTATTCTGGAATCGGTGTGATGAAACGGAGTAATAGTAAATATACATTAGTTGAAAAGTACGAAATAGATTTCTGAATTGAGTTGAATGGGTAAACTATGCGTAAATATTAGAGGTCATTTTTTTCAATTTTAAATTAAACAAACAAGTGTGATTATTTCAGTACTTCTATCGTCGATATGGGTCGTGGAGTTTGCGGCTACTGATAACAGTCCTTGGGATGCTGCAAAATGTAAGAACCAAACCCCACCCTTGATCAGATGCGAGGGCATATTTCTATGATCAAACTATCGATTGATATAAGATTAAATTGGAATCGATAAGATAAATCATATGCATATACTATTTTACATGTCTTCGTCACAAAAATACAGTCAACATATCATAGAATAGACCGCAAGGAATGGTTATCAATTGTAAATTACTTTGAAAAATGTAATTTTCATTCTTTCACTATTGTAGATTCTTCTAAGTGCCATCATTGTACTCGCACCTGCACTGTCAATAGAAGCAGGTATGGCCGTCTTGAAATATACTAGCCACGAAAAGAAACAGTCGATCATTAACATTGTTTCCAAATTTGAAAATATAACAACAGTGTAAAACGCAATGTAAAAGTTAATAGTTGGATATTGAGACCATATGAAAGTGGGTTCTCATGGCCATGACATTGACGTTTGTGGCCTAGTGGTTAAAGCGTTGGCTCGTCACGCCGAAGACCCGGGTTCGAATCCCCACATGGGTACAATGTGTGAAGCCCATTTCTGGTGTCCCCCGCCATGATGTTGCTGGAATATTGCTAAAAGCGGCGTAAAACCAAACTCAGTCAGTCAGTCTTTCCTGTTCGTGTGCTTAAGTTTCAGAAATTGTGAAGCTATTAACGGAGATCTGGGCAGTGGAGTCCAGTGATTTCTCGTTCTGACCAGTGGTGTGCTTGATATATAATACAAGTCGAAGTTATTGCGTTGGCATTGCGGAACCTCATTTGATATCATCACTGTTTGACGCGCTAATATATGTATTCAGCCTTAATCTTACCATTGATTCTGCCTTTGGATGATGATTATTATTATATTTTCATTTTTATGGCTAGATGTTGTCAGTCTATAATTACATTTCTTAAAGTTTGTACTTATGATCATTTCTGACAGCTGCTGGTCTCCCGTTGGTATCCTCTGTTCTTCTGGTGGGAACGGTTGGAACACTCTTCACCGCCATTGTGAGTTCATCTTGCTTTTGCTCTTATGGATACAATATGATCATTCTTTGAGATTTTGATTTTGAGATTTCATTACACCATTATAAAAATCATTTCTTAACAGTTTTCTTCACTGACATTGTGAGTTCATCGTACATTTGCGCACTGGATTTCGATGCACCTAACCTATATACAATGTATATTGTATAAAAGCCATCACAAAACACAAAATGTAATAATTTCTTTTTCATTTATGCCCATTCCGAAATCCTAAAGTATTCTCATCGCGTCACTCTCAAATAGCTTAAATAGTTTAGCGCCTTGACCGCAAAGAATCGTTAGAGTGCAGTAAAAACATCGTCACATCGGCAATATTTCAGCCATATCGTGACGACAAAAAAGATCATATAATAGGAATAAATATATTTATACTTTTAAAATGCAGCCTTCGAAGGACAGGATAACAACTAGACTGTCACAGATTTTAATTAAAACTAGCTTGAGATCATTTTAAAACCCTAAATGTTTCTTCATCAACACAATATAAAATCATTCTACAGATCGCCAGCAACAAAAGTTAGGCTACCACACTGGAGACAGTGGAGACTTAGTAAATCAGGTACATGTATCTACTTTTATAGTGGCGGTGGGGTAGCCTAGTGGTTAAAGCGTTCACCCGTCACGCCGAAGACCCGGGTTCGAATCCCCACATGGGCACAATGTGTGAAGCCTATTTCTGGTGTCCCCCGTGTCCATTACTGGAATATTGCTAAAAGCGGCGTAAAACCATACTCACTCACTACTTTTATAGTCCAGGGCCTATATTTTCGAAGCTCTCTTAGCGCTAAGATATATATTAAGTGCCATACATTAACATGAACTTACGACCATCTTAGCGCTAAGAGAGCTTCGAAAATCTAGGCCAAAGTGACTAATTGGGGATAAGTCCCCTATCCTTTCCAAACCGAGGTCATTGACTCGATGCTGACTTAATCTACTGCCAGGTGTTTATGGTCACACCTGTCTTGTCACAGAGCTGGTTTGGCCATCTTCATGTAACATTGGTATACACCTCCTTAGTAAACAACATTCGTTTCCAGATTTTCATGTCTAGCCAGTAATAATGAAGCTGAACATTTAATCATAATAATTTCCTTTATTTACATTGATTAACACATTTGTCTGAGGAGTACCGCTATGTCACAGGATTGTGTTTCACCTTTATCTATTTTTGTTCAAGGGTGGTCTACGGGGAGTGGTTGCTGTCGATGTTTTACAAGGTGCTGTGATGGTTGTTGGTATAATATCAATCCTGTTCAAGGTTATTATCATTTTTGCTTGTTTGGTATACATAACAGTTAATGTGGTTATTCGTCAACAGGTTTTTAATTTCTAATTTTATTGATCTTTAATGTGATAATTAATTGTTCTCGTCACGATATGGCTTAAATATTGCGATGTGACGATAAATATTAACTCACTCGCTCACTCACTACAGTTAATGTGCAACCTTGCGCAACCAGTCGACCTGGTCACATCACAAGGCAACTTAAATGTAATGGTTGAAAGGGGATGTGGTTAAAGCGTTCGCTCATCAAGCCGAAGACACGGGTTCGATTCTACGTATGTGTACAGTATTTGAACCCTATTCCATGTGTCAACAGCTAGAATGTAGCGGCTACATTCAGTCACCCACTAATTGTCAAAATGATCACAGGGGCGGTTGAGTAGCCTAATGGTTTAAGCGTCCGCTCGTCACGCTGAAGACCCAGGTTCGATTCCACACATGGGTACAATGTGTGAAACCCGTTTCTGGTGTCCCCCCGTCGTGATATTGCTAAAAGCGACGTAAAACCTTTGTGCTGGTGATATCAAAATGGACAATTTCATGGCAAGAAAAACTAAATCATAAATATCACAGGTCATGAAGGCAATATTGATGGTCGTTGTTGTTGTATACTAGTATATTTTACTGTATGGTGCTGTGGATATCGTTAGCATCAAACTGTGGATGGAGGAACAGCCTCATCAAACTGAAGCAATTCATGTCAGAGCTGTCAGTTGATAAATAAAAGTGTTCAATTGACAAAGTATACTAAATCATGAACAATACATTGCTTTTGATATACATGTAAGGTAAACTCACACTATACCTGTAAAGATACGGGTTAGAATTGGTTCTTCTGTGATTGTCGGAAGAGGCGTTCCTGTATCAGACCATAACATAATGTCCATTGTCATCTCTGAAAGGGGGTGTTTGCTGTCGGAGGGATTGGGACAGTATTGGAGATCGCTGTACAAGGAGGCCGGGTTTCGCCTTTAGAGTAAGTATATGGGGCAATGCCTGAATCAGAACACAGCTGCGTATTCCCACCAGTCTTCATAAGTTTTCAGCACATATTTCGAATACATATGACTTTTCATTTATGAAACTTCATCGGAAATGTTTATGTTTGAATGAATCATGAATACACATATGTAATAGATATAGAAAAGAAAATGAAACTTACTATGTTTGACGATCATTCTCGAAGACGTTCAGTGAAATAACAACAAAAACCTTTACTGATAGCAACTTTGGTCTGTTTTTATTTAGTGTAATGCCCCTGTACATTGGGATCGGGTTGTCAGGCTCTCTAACTTGGTTGATGCATGTCGTCATCTCCCCATTGCATAGATCGATGCTTATGATTTCAATCACTGGATTGCCTGGTTTAGACCGTCATATAGCTGGAATATTGCTGAATGGGGCAAACAAGCTAAGCTGGAATAAAGCTGTAATAGTTTGCGTCGAAATGCTACAAACCTGATGATTTATGAGTATACACAGCTGAAGACCCCATTGAAAGCACTTATTCATGTTATGTTCTTTTATGATTGAAGCTTTAGCCTCGATCCGCGTGTCCGACACTCTTTCTGGAGCCTCGTTGTGGGAGGAACCTTCACCTTTATGTCCTACACGTTCGACCAATCGGCAATGCAAAGAGTCTTCTCTTTGCCAACTGCCAGACAAGCTCAATTGTAAATATTAACTTTAAAGTACACTTTCTTGTTTCAAGATTATAGAAAGATGATAACCTAAACGGATGCTGTTGTTTTACACAACTGTCTTGAACATCTTTTCAGTAACGAACTTTTTACACCAACCCCTCGTTCAATGCTTCATCAATATCAGGATATGTCGGAAGTAACTAGTATTGGCAATCACCTGAAAATCAGCCAGACTGAAGAACTTTTGTGAAAACTTTGTATTATGTTCGCTCTTTTCTCTTATAAATCAAGGTTTTGTTGTGCCTGTATTATTGGTTGTTTTTTTTGGTGTAAAGCGAATGATTAGTAAAGAAACTTTTGTATCAGATTGACATACCTAAAATAATTTACTTTCCTATCTTAATAATAGTCTTTGTAATTTATTACAGTTATTCATGCTGGAAGTCTTTTTCCCAGCCAAATAGACTCTTAAAAAACCCCATAAAACCCCCCAAAAACCGCACAAGTCCTTTCAACATTTTGGTATGAGTTCCTGGTGAAAGGATTAAGAACCAGTATATTTAATCGTAAACACTATCAATCTGGCTTGTGGGTCCTCCTTAATTCTTTGTTGATATTTCTGTATTTATTACACTGTCAGCCATCGTCCTATTGTACATATGGATATTCAGATCCGCAGGACATTAGGGAGCTTCTCATAGTTATGGCATGGAATATAAATAAAGTTTCTTCATGATTTCAGCTTCGCATTATGACAACAATATCTTAAACGTATTCATTGTAGGATGTATTTTTTTGTATTTCGCGGTATGTTTTGTATGTTTTACAAATTATCAGAACATGGTATTTGATATTTGCAAGACTTGCTTTTTAGAAGGGCTTACACAATCAACATCTTTAACAACAGCGCATACGGACTGATAATGTGCTTCATGGGACTTGTGGCATACGCCTTCTACACAGTGAATATGTGTGACCCACTAACTGCTGGCTACATCAGAAACAAGAACCAGGTAAATATAAGCGACAAAACCCTTTCCACATCCATAAGAAATCATTGTACCATTGTGACTATGTCATGAGCGTATATTTGTTTCAGCAGTATTACCGCAGTGCATACCGCGATGCACCTGTCCCTACATGCGACATCTTTTCGCTTTTTGTTAGTACAGTGCCTTTTGTTAACAGACCAAATGAATGTACCATTCTGTGTAGATTGGTTATCATTTGTCTCATTCAGAATGCAGTTGTTTGGATGCAACATTTCTTCATCCATATGTTTTGGCACGGACCCGTGAAGATCCGGGTTAGAAATGGTCTTCAGTAGCCCATGCTTGTTGTAAGAGGCGACTAATGGGATCTGGTGGTCAGGCTCGCTGCCTTGGTTGCTCATAATATGGATCGCTGGATTATCTTGTCCAGACTCGAATACTTACACAACGGCGCCGAAGAGCTTTGAACAAGAAACAAAATTATTTCATCAGTTTAATATAGTGTATCTGTAATAGTGTGCAAAGGACCGTATGATCCGGATGACATGGACAGGTCAAAAACGATTCTATTATCTTATATCAGAGAAAAGGTACACAAAGATTCACTTGCGTCTGAAGAATCACCACACTAACTGAACATCTCAACTGTTCAGTGTTTAACAAGTAGGCATTGTACGTATACTTGATATGCTTCAGTTGCTGCCGTACTTCATCATGGACATCTTCCAGGACATCCCCGGTATGCCAGGCCTATTCCTGGCCACCTTACTCAGCGCTGCACTCAGGTAATGCATTTGTCATTTATCGTGTAAGTCATAAATTTGCAATAGTGTAACTAATTACTACGGCATGTCTAATGAAGTCAAATAGTGGTTGATAATATGAACAAATTAACTACGTCATAGGGGTACAATGACATGCAGTCATACAAGTCACCTGGGTCGACCACCCGATCCTCTTCTGACCCCCGTACAGACAAGCACAAAATACGGGATACGAATTTCTACCACGAACTTGCCAGAGTATGGCGGTAAATAGTGATGTCTGGTTCCTGTCCCAATGACATCAAACAATGCGACAATAATGTGTGAGTGAGTTTGGTTTTACGCCGCTTTTAGCAATATTCCAGCAATATCTCGGCGGGGGACAACAGAAGTGGATTTCACACATTGTACCCATGTGGGGAATCGAACCCGGATCTTCGGAGTGACGAGCGAACGCTTTAACCATTAGGCTACCCCACAACCATACGGACACAGATGTAGATCGTTCAGCTACTGTTTCCGCACAACACGCCTTTTTGTATGTTTAGGTTTTTGATGCAATTATTTGAAAGTAATGGAACCTTTAAATACAGTGATTGATATTATGACACCAGAAATGAGCTTCCGACATTGTACTCAAGTACGACTATAGATTCCATTTGCATCAACATTATTTCTATTGAAATTTCTCATGGGGAAACAAATGCTTTTTCATGCGTTGCGCGCGCGCGCACACACACACACACACACACACACACACACACACACACACACACACACACACACACACACACACACACACCGATTGTATCGAATGTGTAACACTTCATGCTGTACTATCATTATTATTATTATCATTTGACAGCACTTTCTCTTCAATCCTCAACGGCCTTGCAACTAACACTATAGAGGATCTCCTGCAGCCGCTATTTGACAAATACTCAACAACAGAGAAGGTTAAACTCCTGGTTGCCAAAACATCAGGTACTGACTGATGAACTATATTCCACCGTGAATTACTCGATAGTGATTGGCCAATAAGTATCAAATCACTCTAACAAACTCAAAGCTAATTTGTATTAAAATACTTTTTTCACTGTCACACATACAAATCGACAAAGAGGTTTTCGCTACTGAAACAAAAGGAAACGTAAATAAGTAAATATATCATATTGCAATATAACCGTGATGCTGCGAAGGCGTTATAAGGTCCTGCCATTGTTATTGGCATTTTACGAACGTTTCCATTTCACTGTGCTAACGTTACATTTAGAGTTATCTTTTCCTGTTTTCGTTCATGCACACACAGTGTGAACACGTGTTCCCCTCACGAGAAGCACTTTTCGCATAAAATTCCTACCCTGCAAATGTACGTCAGTGGGTGTACGTCTGTGATATAGAAGGAAGAATACAACTCGTCTTTGTTGAACCGTCATAACAGTAGATTGTACGGGTGCTTTAACACCCTTGGTTTCAAGTTGTCTATCTATTGATTATCACATACAAAGCATAAATATCTCGTAACCGGGCAAACCATGACCTTTTATTTATATTGAATGTTTTGGGGTGATTGGATTCCGGAATACCGATCCCTAGTAACCGATGCTTGCTGTGAGACGAAACGAAAATGGTTGTTCGTGTAAAGCAGGTATTAGTGAGTGAGTTAGTTCAGTTTTACGCCGCTTTTAGCAATATTCAAGAAATATCACGGCGGGGGACACCAGAAATGAAAGCAGGCATTAATAGGGACTAGCTTCAAACAGATATGCTCACCTAGCACACAAACGGACGCGCGTACAAACGCGCGCACGGAAACACACCTTTTTATATCATCACCGATATACTATGTCATACATTGTATATTTATTTACAGTTTTCATTTTCGGGTCTGTTTCCGTTGGGTTGAGCTTTCTTGCGCATACGTTTCCAGGCACTGTCATACAGGTACTGTCTTTGAAGCATTTTCAAGCACAGCTAAAGTTTTTACCAATTAACACCTTGTGTTTAGTCTTAGAATCGCACACAAACATCTAATCATTCTGCAAATATTTCGAGGAACATTTGTTGCCATACACATATTGCTGTAAGTCATTATGAAGGTATTACTATGATACAGACCGATTCACAACGTAGAGTTGATCTTTAGTAACCCATGCTTGTAAGAGGCGACTAACGGGATCGGGTGGTCAGGCTCGCTGACTTGGTTGACACATTTCATCGGTTTTCCAATTGCGTAGATAGTTGCGTATATCCCATGATGTTCATCACTGGATTGTCTGGTCCAGACTCGATTAATTTCAGACCGCCGCAATATGGCTAGAATATTGCTGAGTGCGGCTGGAATATTGCTGATAGATGCAAAAACCCAAAACAAAACCCAAAACAATTCACATCGTTATATTAGACACAGAAAGTAATGCCATACCTTGTGGGTTGCTGTGTTCCAGGCAGCCGTTGCACTGGTTGGATCCTGTGCCGGGCCACTATTGGGAATATTCTATCTATCTGCCATGGTCCCTTGGGCCAATACACTAGTAAGTACTTGAAATACCTGACTGTATACATCACAGACATGTATAAGTTGTAACGACTATACCAATAGTCCGATAGTTATTAGGGCATTATTTTTGTATTTTCTGTGCATCTCATCGCCCGACCAATCGTTCTAATTTAATGCCGCCCCCTACTCCACCCCCCCCAAAAAAAAACAACAACAAAAAAACAAACAAAACAAAACAAAACACCCCAAAAACCCAAACCCAAAAAACCCCAAAACAACAAAAAAACAAAAACAAACAATCAGTCGCTGCCCCAAGTCCAAAGAACGCAAGAGATTGTAATAAAAATTACAATAAATGAGAATCAAGAACAATATTCAGATACTTTTTGCCTTTATTATTTTTTTTCCCCGACCGACCGACCCGTGTTCAGAATTGGGTGGCTACGTGAAACACATAAAAAATGATGCCCTTAGTAATGACGGGGCGGTGGGGTAGCCTGGTGGTTTAAGCGTTGGCTTGTCACGCCGAAGACCCGGGTTCGATTCTCCCCCCAGTGTGAAGACGAATGTTGATGTAAATGGAATCTACTAACGCATTTGGGTACAATGTGTGAAGCTCATATCTGGTGTCCCCCGCCTTGATATTGCTGGAATATTGCTAAAAGCGGCGTAAAACCATACTCAAACACTCGCCCACTTATTAAAAGCACCTGTAAAAGGGCTCAGTAATTCTTGTTGTAAACTCATGTTTCAAGATGCAGCTGAGGTTGGAGTACATTTGCTATGACAGAGTTATGTCAAAAATATTTCGACACAAAATACCCTGTTCTAACCTAATGCTTATCAGATACAATCGATATGGGTTCTGTGCGTTTGACTACTAAAGACAGGTGTCTGGACAGATGGCAATACCTATGGACATATGATGTCATGTAATGCCTTTCTTGCAGGACCCGTGAAGATCAGCGTTAGAATTGGTCTTCAGCAACTCATGCTTGTCGTAACAGGCGACTAACGGGATCGGGTGGTCCGGCTCGCTGACTTGGTTGACACATGTCATCGTATTGCAATTGCGTAGATCGATCCTCATTATGTTGATCACTGGATTGTGTGGTCCAGATTTGATTATTTACAGACCGCCGCTATACAGCTGGAATATTGCTAGGTGTGGCGTTAAATAACAAACCAACAAACTTTCTTACAGGGCGCTGCATCGGGGGTGTTGGTGTCTCTCGTGCTGAACACGTGGATCACTATCGGCGGCGTCCTGTACGGACGTAGACCTGTACCACTTCCTCCGGTGACCGGCAGCGCCTGTAAGGTTGATAACGTGTTCAACACGACTGGGACAAGCATGCAGGTCTTTGACATGGAGGACATGTCCAGTACCGTGGGGTATTCATCAACCGCTGCCTCGACAACCACTGAAAGGTATCACCAAGCAACATCGTGGCAAATAATCTTTTAACCAGAATCTATAATGGCATTACCGATTCTGTTGTCGAAGCTGTAAAGGAGAGTTTAGCAGTAAAAGACTAATGCATTGCTTCCGTATTGAGTTAAATCCGTATTGAAATGAAAATACAGTCGAACACCGTTGTCTCGATGTTTACTGGACCAGGAAAAAATATCGACTTATCCGAATATCGACACATCCGAGTTGGGCATATCATCACATACCAACATGAAAGAAATGAAAGAAACCAAAAGAAAACAGTAGATTGCATGTCTATTATTTATTTGTCCTCACAGTGATCACAAATACACATGGTAATCTCGTCAAAGTGTCCATTTTGAAATATACAAAAGTTGGATTTACTCCACAAACGAAGTGAAGAAATCAGAAAGTTTTAACTGACGGGCATTTGTTACTTTTCAGGTGTACCAACATCTGATCTAGTTATCCCTCCAGATAAGCCGGGTCCTTTGCTAGCTTTCTCAGACATGATGATAACCGTACTGACAAACCTACCATTTGGTAACATTTTATAGCCCCACAACACAACAGTGTTCAATTAACTCCTCATCCGCATTTCTCAGTCGGCAATTTAGTAACAACTCAACAATCAACTGCTTGTCACGTGATGACACAAGTCCCTGATTAGATTCTCACAATGTTTTGATTCGATACTATAATCCGTTATCCGGAGTGTTAAGTTGAAATTAGGAGTACATCCTAGTTAGATAAACAAACAAGTGACAGCTACAACTCAATTAGCCTTAATCAGCTTACACTACTGCTACCTTTGATTCATGCCGCAGTGTATATAAAGACTACTTTAATATGATAATAATAATGTTGGTGATATTGTGAATCCGTTTTAAGTGTAAGTTCATTTGTTTACAGTAAAGACGGTAAATATATACTATAACGTTTCACTACCGCCCAAAGCACAGTCAAAAACTGACGCCGGGGCATACGGTCATTGTCGTTAGTTGGTTATAGTTTATGTAGACTATTTGATGTTTGAATTTTGATAGTGGTACATCGTGACCCTTAGCACCAATTTACGATGATTATAGAAGGATTTTGTCGGTTTTATTTACACAGTTCCACCGCAACCTCTAGTGACAACCCACTCTACAATATTTCTTATCTCTACTACGCCTTGAATGGATTTTTGGTGGCCTTCCTTGTGGGACTCGTCGTCAGTTTTGCTACACGTACGTCGACTTCTGTTACAACTGAACAGCCAGTATGAGCTGACGTTTTGTTTGTTTGTTGTTTAACGCCGCACACAGCACTTTTCTATTTTATGACGGCGGTCTGTGAAAATAATCGTGTCCGGACCAGACAATCCAGTGATTGATGTCATGAGCATCGGTCGACGCAATTGAGATAAAATTACATGTGTCCACCAAGTGAGCAAGCCTAGTGTGTACTCATCATAACAGTGGTCGTAGACGAGGTCGTAGATGTTGGTTGGTTGGTTGTTTAGTTGTTTAACGCCACACTCAGACTCACCACCCGATTCCGGTAGTCGCTCTTACAGTGTAAACATATTTTATTCAAAATAAATTGAACTAGGATTGGTAAACAAGCCGGAATGGCTTATTTGAATACCTCTCCATTTCATTGATACATGAATAAAACAAATATTAAATAATATGCAGCATGATAGGAAAGCAAGCAACCTGCGTATTAAACATTATTAATCATTTATCAAACCGATAATTTGGCAGAAACGTGTACCAAAGTTTTTATCAAATATATTAAAATTGGGTGGTTTTGATGATTGGAATGCATTTTTGAATTGGCCTATGGTTTCAATATCGTACATATTCTCAGGCAAATCATTCCATTGTCGTATTGTATCAGGTAAAAACGAGTTGCTATACAAATCACTACGACATCTTATAGTTTGAATGTTATTACTGTTTCTTCATCTATGGTCACTTAACTGTGATACTTTTTCGGGCAGTAGTCGCCTCTAACGACAAGCAAGGCTTACAGTAAGACCAAGTCTAACCAGAATCTTCACCGGTCATAAGTTAACGTATTTGTCAACGTCAACGGAATTAGTTGGGGTGAGCTAAAGGGGGATTTTGTATAGGATATACAAACACATGTTTATGATACATATTGAGAAATTGTTTTTGTCGCTTTTATTTATCTTAGTATAAGAGTGCGTAAGTGAGTGATTGAGTATAGTTTTACGCCGATTTTAGCAATATTTCAGCAATATCGGGAACACAGTAAATGGGCTTCACGCATTGTACCCATGTTGGGAATCGAACCCGGGTCTTCGGCGTGACGAACGAACGCTTTAGTATTCCCCAATGCGGGTACAATGTGTGAAGCCCAATATTCTGCGTAAAACACCTGCCGTGATATTGCTGTAATATCGCCATAAAACAATCTGGCGTAAAACTAAACAAAATTTAATTATTTATCAAAACTGCAGGTAAAACTATACTCACTCACTCAATATTATGTTCATGGCAGCGCCCGCCACTCACAACTTTCAAAACAAAGTGGCTTTGACCAAATTATCCCGTCGTCTGGGTGCAAAAGTTCTCTTCTAATATCGATTAATGATTATAAAACACGGCAAGTTTGAGATAATTATCACCATACACATAAGAGTCAATGGCTGTTGCTTCGTGAAAGGCAGGACATGCATAACCAGTGTGGTCACGGATGTTTAGTGATTCATTTCACTTATATTCCATGATGTCTCATTTTATTTGTTTCGTACCTCAGGACACAGATATTCCCCGCTAGCTGACGAGAGAGTATTGTTTACTTGTATGAGGAAATGCGCTGATACCAGAGAAGCAGATAACTCGGACAAAGTAAGATTCCACTATGTAACATTACTATATTCCAAAAGGATAAAAATTGGTTTGATTGAGGCAGAAATGATTTTTCACTGAGAATCACGCGATTTATAAAGATCTACTTCTTAATCAGGCCCCGATTTCTCGAAACAAACTTAAGTCTTAGTTTCGACTTAAGTTAGAGTTTTTACTCAAATTTGAGAAAATGCATTCCCCAAAATGAACTAAAATCGATATTAAACTCAAACATAGTAGACGATTTGAGTTTGGTGGATAGATTACTTAAGTTGTTTGGGCTTTTTTATTTAAAAAATGCAGTTGAGTTAAAAATTCAGCTGTTTCAAATTGTCCAACTCAGTTTGAAATTTGAGTAAAACTTAAGTTTGTTTCGAGAAATCGGGGCCAGGTGTGCATTTTTACAATGGTTTCACATAATGTATGAACACTTTGACTAACCATCATCAGTTTGAAAGAAACAATACCATTCCGCGATTAACGGATGCTAACGAAATTGGCACTAAAATGTCTTATTTTTACACATTTAAATAGTAATTGAGTTTCTCGTAATATGGGGTTTTGAACATGATTCATGAAACATGTTTATTATTTCTTTACTTCAGCGAGAAGCGAAAAATATATTTGAGATGAAGCTGATGGATGATGGTGAAAACCAGTGTGTGCCTACTCTGTCATCCTTGTCAACAACTACAAGCTTTTCCCCTGTAGAACATACATTGTAAATAACACGAACATTGTGTTCACGTTTCACAGCAAGACTGCTTACAATCACGCCTTCACCAACAAATACCTGGTTCAGGCTATTCCAGGTTATTAGTTGTTTCTTTGGTGGTTACCGCCGCACTCAGCAATATTCCAGCTATATGGCGACGGTCTGTAAATATTCGAGTCTGGACCCGACAATCCAGTGATCAACAGCATGAGCATCAATCTACGCAACTGGGATACAATTACACGTGTCAAGCACGTCAACGCGTAGGGATACCCGATCCCGTTTGTCGCGTCATACGTCAGGTATGGGTTGCGGAAGATCAATTCTAAGAGGGGTATTATTAGCTGTAGACATTCAGAAGACTGTTAAAAATAATGGTATCCGGTGCCATCCAATTTTCACATCCCTACTTTTAAATTCAAATTGTGTAAATGGTAGATGCAGAACAGGACGTGCCTATCCTTATTGCAAACACCTGGTGTCATATCCATTCATATATAATATTATATATTCCGCTTAATTACATGATGTATTTGTATATTCGTATTTGATTCACTGACAACATCAACTTAATACTGCCATCCGTATATTTGAAACTGAGTGAACAGAATGTCACTTAGAAAGTGGTCAAGTGTAACATATACATTGTACTCTTAAAAAAGTAGGGGAACTTCATTTTTAATTTACAATTGAAAAAATGGGAGATATATCGGAGTCAATCAATGCTGATATGATATTAATGAATGTTTTGAGAGTGCATCATCACTTATGACCATAGTTGTTTGTACAGTAATCGCTCTTGAAAGATGGTTGACGTTAAATTTGCATTTGTACGATTTTCATTTTCAAACAAACACCACGGCTAGAAACAAAACAAACAAATGTGATATATGCAAGATGATTGTTAAAATTAATTAATAGTGATTTATCGACCAACTTGAAAACCGTCAAACTCAAGAATGACATCCCATGCACGTGTATGGCGCTAGTGTGCACGTGCATACCATGCGTTATGTTTAGGGGTGGTGATAAAGAGAAATGATAGTGCGTGCATAAGATGTCTTTATTTGAAAGTTCAGGTTCCCCTACTTTTTTTTAAAAGTATATGTGTTAAGCTTTGGGTTGCCCTTTCCCAGTTACGTACAGATTCTGGTACCTATTTTTGGATGAAGTCCCAGACGATGATTTGGTGCTAATGAAACCAATTCGTCAATCAAGATTTCTTAATTCAAGTAAATTGTTCCCCTAGATCCCCACATGGTTTAATAAATCGCACGTATTGTGAAGTTAAGGTCATGGCCTACAAGTGGACACCTGTCAATGCCCAGTGGATTAAGGATCTCATTTGTAAAGAACTCAAAAGTGTACTTGACAAAATGTATTAAATCTATTTAAACTAGAATTCGCGACGTGTGCCCACTTGTATTGCTATGGGCCTTAGTATACACTAAACGCCAAAGAAACGTTACCCTCCTTCCTTAATGACGGAGGTACCTATCTTCACCTGGCGTTGTGATGCGTGGACGTCCACTTATTGGTCTGTCTACGGTGATCCCAGTCTGTCTGAAGTCCTGAATAAGTCTTACAACCGTGATACGGTGGCATCCGTGGCAGCAGCATTGTCTGTCGACCCCATCTGCACCATCCCAATGGCTCTTTCTCTCCCTTAGCTGTTAATCGTGGCATATTTCTCGTACTTGTGTATCAGATCATGTCTTCTAGGCTCTCTTTATACCCTATAGAATCATTCTGCATGTGAAATGGATGTAAATACTGTTTGAATATTGCTGCGTTTTGGCGATTGATATTGGTATGTGTAAAATGGAAATGGAAAAATGTTAAAGGTCACATGCAACCAAAAAAATCAAACCCTAATTAAAAACACAATTATCACTTATTCATGACATATAATATACATTGCTGGTTATGAAAAAACATATAAACAAAATTATAAGCGTACAATCGCAAATCAAAAGTGCAATATTGTACTTCGGTTTACTTCCCAGAAACGAAGCAGCCGGGATACCGAACCCAGTCAGAGCGTGTGGGTGTGCACTCAAGTGTAACGGCTGGTTCATTTGCAGATGCCCTCACGGCACCAATGTGTGTATATATATAGAGATGTTGGGTTTTGTAAATACATGTTCATTTTTGTGTATAACATTTTGCAATCAACAGACATCATAACATGTCATGTGTTCCAAAGTATCACATCTGCCTGTCTGTGTAATTACATAATGTGACAGAGACCGAACTCGGGCCATAAATCAATGCATTTTGTTTATGGTGTATAGCCTGATTGGTTGTTAAGTTCAAATTGCATGTGGTCAGTGATAGCAGCTGTGTATTGAATATTGTCATTAGCAGACAGGCAGGCAGACACACAGGTGTCAATAAAACAAGACATTGAGTTTTGTCTGTGACAACGACATATCTATATCACAGTTAGAAATTCTGTCAACGCTAAATATGACATTGCTTTTAAGTATCGAACTGAGAAAGTGACTCGGTAAGAGGAAGAACGTGTGGTGAAATAGACAAATGAAATTATATAAACGGTTTATTTACTGTCATAACATATAAAACGCTCGCGCCTGTGAGATATCAACAAAACATTAGAAAAATAGCTCACACCAAAGCCTTCACCGAGTATTCACCGGACAACCCGCTTCCAATACCGAAAGGTATCAGAATCTGCAAAGTTGTGTTTTACGTTGCATGTGACCTGTGTACAAAGATAATTGTAGATGTTCCTAAACATTTTCTCAAAATATCAAAGACACGTTTTACTTGTTTTCACTAATGCAAATCAGCAGAATTTTAAAAGACTAAAATCATAGCAATGATTATTTTACAATTTTACACACTCTACAACAGTTGTTTCTTGTTTTAATAGTTGAAAAATGGTGACTTTAAATGGTTTGTCATTGTCCAAAGCAGAATTTTATTTCAACCTTTCTTTTGGACATCAAAATCAGTATTATTGGTTTATTTCGGCATGGACGAATATAGGACAATTTAACTTTTCTGAAAAAGATGCATTTCACCCAAATATGAATGCATTGGAGAATTTGTTTTCGTGATTTGCATAAAGCTTCTGAAAAAGATGCATTTCACCCAAATATGAATGCATTGGAGAATTTGTTTTCGTGACTTGCATAAAGCTGTGTTGTTAAGCATTCTTGTAAACTAAAACCTTCTAAAATATCTTTGATGGTTTTCCAGTAATTCATAAAGGTAGGAGGGTAACGTGTCTTATGGCGACTGGATGAGTGAAAGCAGTTTTGTGGTCATGGGACCCTCTATTATCGAGATATTTAATGTTGTCGCCATCAGGATTATGAACGGCTACTGACATTTAGCATTTTATATATATTTTCAGTTGACTTATGTTTAATCTTCATTTCTGTCACAAATATTGTGACACATAGTCGCAACTCGTTTTATACCATTGCGGCAATTCCGATTGTCTCGTTTGACCCGGAAATTGAAGCAACTCTCTATTATTGCGGTATTGCTATTTTCTTTACTATGGCACGCGGTACAATCAGATGACACTGTAAAACGTTTACTAAGACAAGTAACAAATCTAAATAGTTTGATCATTAATTTTTTTAGAATTTCATTCACATTAGTAATATCATCTTGTTTTTACCCAAACATCTCAAACTTCTATTCATTTGGATACAAGGTAACAATAACGTTACAAAATATTGTTTTCCGCCTTAAAAGCAGTACCATACAAGTTGCTGCCGTGTGTAGAGTGAAGTTGCATAATACGTCACTTCCTGTTATATTTTTAGCACGGAAAATATGCAAATGATCTTATAGTTGTCGCAGGATAACTCTTGACGAAGTAAGTTTTGATTCATGCTAGATGTAATGGCAGTAGGGTCATATAATTTCAAAATGTTCTAGAACTTACTGAAAAGATGAATGCTGTACTATTTCTATGATAAGAGATGACATTCCAATGAAATAAATTACTTTTGCAAGAGCGATGAATATATTTTACGTAATTTGCATATATAAACAGCCGATGAGGGGCGTGGTGTTTCTGCTTTCCCGATGTTTTCGCGTGCCGCGATAATAGAGAGCCCCCGATAATAGAGAGTCCCAGTATAATTCTAGGGTTTCCGTCAAAAAAAGTAGCAGATTCGAATTTGGGTGACGAAATGTCTGAAAATACGGCATACTATTAATGTAAGCTACCAAAAGTGGTTTTAATGTCCTATTGGTGTTGAGTTCATTATCTACAGGATATGTACCCGTATATGCGATTAAGAGATATGTCACAATAATGACATGAAAAGTGATGACACATGAATTCATCCCCGCCGTTGTATGTTCGCTGACACATTAACATATGAAGGGGTTTGTTTGCTGCCAAACACGCCACGCCAACTGAAAACCATTCCACACATTGAAAAATCATTCATGAACATAATTGTGAATTAACAACAAATTCAACTGCAACACGCTCGACAGGTCAGAACCCTTTCGTGACAAACTCGTGTTATTCCGGGACAAGCCGAATAGCGACTCGTGCCCCTCTGGGAGGATTCCACATTGGCGCATGAACATCAGGAACTACTTTAAGGTTACGGAAAGAGGCGAGTTGTGACGAATGGACAGAACCTTGCTTTACTCACGGACCGAGGCATATAAGTTTCAAATACACGAAACAAAATGAGGCGGACAGAGACTTAAGAGGGAACTTTAACAACTATCAGAATATTATCAGAGTTTTGTCTTGACAAGGAATATTTATGAGTTATAGAGAATTTTTATCTTTAGCATATTTGGTCTACAAATCATTCAAACATCGTTTAAGTATGTCAATTTAAAAAGATATCGGTATTCAGTACCATCACCGTTCATTTCACATAATGTAGAAAACAAATCACGTATTGGAGTGTTATTAAAGTGCTCGAGATAATTTGTTCAAATATAGTTCCGAGAGGTAAAAATTCAATCATTTTCTCAATCTGAAAAGACAAGCATTTTTGTGAATTTCAGTAAAAGGTAATACGGGTTATATTTGGGATTACACTTTCTCAGTAAAGTGCAGATTCTACTACTATTAAATATCCATCACAAAGGATAACTATTTCAAATCACGAACTATGAAGGATCTTTTTAATAATATCCAGTTCTCATTTAGTTATTGCATTTTAAAAGAAATAGATTTGTTAAGTGATTTGTAAATAGATAAAATATTTTATTGTTAGATAGGTCTTCTAGAAGTTGGTGAGTCAACAAAGGAAACATACAACTTTATGGATGACAACTTCTGGTTTATTGCGTTGAGCGACGTTTCGATGTAGATTCTTACATTGTTATCAAGCTAAAAGTGAGTACAACCAAATGATGATGAGCATATATACATGGTATGTTGTGACAAGCAGCAGATTAACATTAACAACAGCATGTAGGATGGGAGAGGAGGCCAGGGCTTCTTCTTCAAAATGGGTCATGTAGATTTCAGTAAGAATGGGGAAAGAGACAGCAAATCAGCCCCTCTCAGATCACCAACCAAATGTTCCCTACCCATGAAATCAAGTTTGACGAATTCGAAGTCCTATCAACCAATAATCAGGACTTCACTAAAAGAAAGCTGTTAAGGAAGCCATCGAAATCCGCCGCCACAAACCTTTGATCAACCGTGACCAAGGATACTACATCCCATCAG